CATACGTCAAAACTTACCTAGTTATACACTATATATATATATATATATATATATATATGTATGCTTTCTTATGCAAAATACACCTTAATACAACTGTAAATAAATGGGGTATTAAGTTATAACCTATTGAATAAAATAGAAAATCTGTGAGGCAATAATAATATGAATGAGTAAATAAATAAACAGATGATAGATAGGTAGATAGATAGATAGATAGATAGATAGATAAAAGATGCATAACACCAAATATATTACTGGTGGAAGTGTAAATTGAATTGAAATAGCCACTTTAGAAGACTTTTGGGCAGTATCTGCTAAACCCAATAAAGTAAGGTATTCAAGAGTGTGTACAACATACTGCCATTTGTGTAAGGGGAGAATGTATACACATATGTGTCTGTGCATCTAAATATGTGATGGGTGTGTTATCTGCTAATTCACAGATCAGCTCCATTTCCAGGATTCCAAGAAATTGTGTGATACTTAGTGTGTCCAGAGGGGGCATCTGAGTGATTGAGAGATGGGAATAGAAGACAGAACTTTCTCTGTAATCCCTTTGTACCTTTTAAATTTTGTACCATGTGATTGTACTATCTTTTCCAAAAAAAGCGTTTAATGATTCTTTTAAAAGCAAAAAGAGCCCTTCTCTGCGGAGAGACTATTCTCTGACCTCACCTCCCACCACTTCTCCAACTCTCCCCATTCTTCACTAAACTGAGCCACTCACCCTTTCCAGGAAGGGGCAGGCGGTGTCCGTCCCATACACCTGCTTTCTTCCATATACCTATCCCCCTCTGAGGCACCTCTTTCGATCCTCAGTTGGCTTGCCTACTCCTGACTCTCTTTACTACTGCAGAAGGTGGCTCTGTGTCTACACCACGTTGTGACCAGTCTTCGAACGTGGGTTGCCACTTCCGTTGTGAGCTCACACTCCTACTGTGGAGAGAATCGCTGCCTCCTTTACAGTGGCAACAAGAAGCCAAGCCCAGAGAAGAATGTGTCATGCTGTGGGGTCACAGAACCTCTCTCCTGAGCACAGCACAGGGGCTGCTCCTGGCTCTGGCAGCTCTGTGTGGGAAAAGACAGTTTCCTGAAATAGCTCATCTCTGTCTGCCTCAGGAGTTGTCCCCAGACCTTTTTTCTAAGGCTCCTACAGGCCAGGGCAGATCCGCTGAGGGGTTCAACTGGAGGACAGAGGCAGTGGACTTTGAGAGAGTGGCCCTCTCAACCAGGGACTTTTTTAAAACTCAATCCTCCTCCAGAGTCCACCAGGGGCCCTGGGAAATGTTCCTCACGAGATTTTAGAGTATTGTCATTTCCTCTTGTTTAATTCTGAGCTATACAAAATTTCCTTTGGCCTCTGTGCAATTGGTGTGCAGCCATTAGGACTGCCTGTGGGGAGCCTTCCCCCAAGATTTTGAGGGAGGCTTGGCCCAAAAGAGAAGCCACCACTAATAATTTGGGGACTTTCTGCTAAGATGACTGTGACCCCAAAATCTGGGCTCTGAGGCTCCCCTGCCTTAGTGGCCGCCTGGTACCGAAGCCTCAGGAGTACTGTCCTAGGCTGTGAGGACAGCTAGCACCACCTGCCTCCCATCTTCCCCCACTCTCCTTAGATCACACAAATGTGGAAACAGGAGGAGACCTCAGAAACTGTGTAAGGCCCACCCAATCCCTCTCTATCTCCCCATTTTACAGATGAGAAATTGGAGCCCAGCAAGTAAAAAGACTTGCCCAAAGAAACAGCAAGTTCTAATGGCAGAACTAATTCTGGGACCTAGGCTTCCTGACTCTTCTTCTCCACTCTGCCTTGTTCTCCCTTCTCTTCTTCTATTGCCAGGGCATTGCAGTCTCGGATGTGATAATAAACACCAGTCAGTTGAGAAAACACTTTCTTTCTGACCTGCAGCCTCCCTGCTTCTTCTGACCAATCCAGCCTTACCCTGAATACCCCGTGTTTGGCTTCTATCTGGGGCAAAGGCATGTTACAGTTTACAGAGCCCTGGGGGTGTGCCAGGAGAACCCAACCAGAGCTTCCAGCTTGCATAACCTGGACAGATCTTGGGGACAGAATGAGGCCAGCACATGCCCATGAGTCAGCTCTGTCCCAGCACTTGGCCCCCATGGAGCCATGACCTGAGACACATCCCTCTCTGCCCTTCCCACTCCTCTCTGATATGATCAGCACTTCCCACCTTCCACTGACAGAGCACCCCAGACCACAGGACACCAGCACCACCTGTTCTTCCACCCCACATAAAACTTGTTGAAGAGCGTGTGGGGCTGTAAGACCTGAGCCCTCGGAGGGATTACATACACCCTCCCCGTCCTGGCAAAGAAAAAAACTTGACAAGAAGGACACAGGGAGCAAAGTCCTGTCACAGGGGGAGGAGAGACTCCTGTCTGCAGTGGCTGGAAAGAGAGAAAAGGCCAGCGCCCCAGCGGAAACACCACTCAGAGCTGGTCTGTCATGGATGCCCTGGTTCGACTCCTGCAGCTGCTGGTGCTGCTCCTGACCCTGCCCCTCCACCTGATGGCCCTGCTGGGCTGCTGGCAGCCCCTGTGCAAAAGCTACTTCCCCTTCCTAATGGCTGTGCTGACTGCCAAGAGCAACCGGAAGATGGAGAGTAAGAAGCGGGAGCTCTTCGGCCAGATGAAGAAGCTTATAGGAGGCTCCGGGGAGGTGGCCTTGCTGGAGCTGGGCTGCGGCACTGGTGCCAACTTCCAGTTCTACCCAGCTGGCTGCCGGGTCACCTGCCTGGACCCAAACCCCAACATGGAGAAGTTGCTGACGAAGAGCATGGCTGAGAACAGGCATCTCCAATATGAACAGTTTGTGGTGGCTTCCGGAGAGGACATGAAACAACTGGCTGACAGCTCCATGGACGTGGTGGTCTGCACCCTGGTGCTGTGCTCCGTGCAGAGTCCTAAGAAGGTCCTGCAGGAGGTCCAGAGAGTGCTGCGGCCGGTAAGCAGGAGGGGGAGGGAATGGCGTGGGGCAGGCAAGCGCAGACTGGCCACTCCAGGACGGAGAACCTGCTGTACCAGCACATGAGACACCCATCCCCCCCCACCCCCCATCTGCTGGTGAAGAGCAAATATGACGAGGGCCTCGATAGGGCAGAATTGGGTGCTGTGGAAGCACAGGGGAGAGTCACCTTAAGCGGTGGTTGTTTGGGAGGTGGGGGGCGGGGGGGGGGAAGGTGGGAAGAGAGAAGGACACCTAAGGAAGTGAGGTTTACATCGAGATCTGAGGAATTAAGTGGGATGTGGAGGAGTGAAGAAAATAAAAGAGTGTTCTAGGTAGAGACATTTGGGGAAATAGAGTCTATAAGATTTTGAACTGGGTGTGGAAAGGAGTTTGGGATGGTTTCCAGGTTTCCAGTGACTGGTGGAGGGAGGGAGAGAGGGAGGGAAGAAGGAAGTGTCATTTGCTGAAATGGGAGGAAATTATTTGGGACTTGTTAGGTCTGGCTGAGACAGCCAGGCAGAAAAGCCACAGAGGCAGTTAGAAGTCCAGATCTGGAAGTCAGAAAAAGGTGTAGCCTGAAGATAGAGATTTGGATGTCACCACCAGCTTATAGCTGGTAAATTCAAAGCATAGGAGTACATGAGATCACCTAGAGAGGGTTCAAGAAGGAGACAAGAGCCAAAGGAACACCAGCATTAGTCAGGAGTCAGGTGCAGGGTTTCCCTGGGATGTTGGCCAAAGGATGAGGTTGAGTGTAACGTCTGAGTTTCAGAAGCGAGCATCTCTGTACACATTGAGATCTCTGCTCTTGTCTCTCCATCTCACCATCTATCTGCCCTTGGCTAGGCTGTCCCTGTGGCCATCTTTTCAAGATCTCTCACCAGTCATCCCCACTGGGAGGATCTTTACATGCACTTTTGAGTGGGAGGGTGGGAGCCAGAGTCCACAGAAAAAGTCGGGAGCAGAACAATTCCCTTCATACACTTGCAGACCAGCAACCCCTGCTTCACCAAGAGGCTTGACCAGGCTTGGTCAGCGAGGTGGGGGTGAGGTGAGAGGAAGGGTGCGGAATGGAGCAAATAAGTGACACTGACTCTCTCTCTTCTCTCCCAGGGAGGAGTGTTCTTTTTCTGGGAGCATGTGGCTGAGCCCCGTGAAAGCTGGGCCTTCCTGTGGCAGCAAGTTTTAGAGCCCACCTGGAAACACATTGGGGATGGCTGCTGCCTCACCAGAGAGACCTGGAAGGATCTGGAGAGTGCCCAGTTCTCTGAACTCCAAATGGAACAACAACCCCCTCCTTTCAAGTGGTTACCAGTCGGGCCCCACATCATGGGAAAGGCTATAAAATAACCCTTCCCCAAGCCCTGCCTCCAGCCAGAGCAATCCCACCTACTGGCTAAGTCTGTCTTCCCCTGAGAGAAATCTAGGCAAAGAAGCCATTCCTCTCCCCCTCACACACACCGTCTTCCTCCTTCCCTCCACCTCTGCCAGGGGTCTAACTTCAATTCTTCCTTCCAAAGTGAAAAAGCTCTGGGGCGCCAGACTGACTGGGTCAATAGAGCACATGACTTTTAATCTCAGGGTCATGAGTTCAAGCTCCACATTGGGTGTGGAGCCTACTTTCAAAACGATGAACAAACAAAGTGGAAGAGCTCCATTCCCACCCAGACCACAGAGAAGAAAGTGATATGTCCTTTCTTAGACTGGGTCTCGCAATTTTTGCCCACCCACTCCTGGGGCAGTTCCCTGTCCTTTTCCCTTGTTCCCATAGTAAAGCGCCCCCTCCTCTTCATCTAAGAACACATGCCCGTGCCTCCAGGAACTGGTCACAAAAGACATGATACATGCACCCCCACCGGCCTCCCAACCCTCCCTCCCACTACCAGTTTTGTGCAGAGCTGGGGTCTGGGGCTGGGGTGGGGGGTGCGGAGAGAAGCGGTCTTCTCCTGGAGACCCTGGACAAGGGGGAGCAGGACTCAGCAAAGAATTCAGAGGTTTTGTCCTCAAATATTGTTTAATAAATAGATAAAATCCACTAGATTGATGCAGCAAACTAAGGTCAGAGGGGAGGGGAAACTAGGGAGAGAAGAACCCCTGAGTCAGCAACACAACCTCCTCCCCAACCCTCTGGGCTTAAGGCACTTTCAAGGGGACAGGTCCTTGGGGTCCTATTAAACTGGGTGAATGGGAGAGGGAGAGATTAGGGTCCCTTCTCCCACTTTTGCGTCAGGACCTCACTGCCCTTCTCCCCCTACCCCACAACCCCATTCCTGATCTGCCCTCACCTCACAGTGTTCTAAGGGGAAGTGTGTTCTAAGGGGAAGTTTTGGGAGGTGTTCCTTGTAGGGGGGAGACATCTATGCCCCTGAGGAAACAGATCCTGTCACATCCTGATGGGACTCCAGCAACCCACTCTACCCTCTTCATCCCAAGGAGCCATGTCTGGGAAAAGGGTGGAGGGGACCCACAGGCCGGGCTGGGACGGAGGAAACTAGGCGGTGCCTGACACGGGATGCCCCTCCAAGCCTGGCTCAGGGTGCCCATCAGCAGCCAGGATGGGGTGTGCATCGGGGCCCTCCCGCCGGGGGCTGCCCCAGTTGTTCCTCAGGATGGTGCCCGTCTTCTCCTCTTTGAACTGCTGTCGGTCTTCCCGGGGGATCTTCACTGCGTGGTACTGGGGCACGGTGGCTTCAGGGTACCGTGCCCGCTTGAAGAATCCCATCTGTAAGGACAGCAGGCCCAATGTGAGGAGCGTGCGGGGCTGAGGTCCCTGGAGCAGATGCCCAGCACAGCACAGCGCCTTGTCTCCACCATCACTGGGACAGAAAGTACCAACTGCAGCTGAAAGGGGCTGTGTTGGACAGCACCCAGTGCAGTGCGCGACCCCTGCAGGTGAGACCATCAGTGTGGGGTCCCCAGGTCGTCACTCACAGCAAGAGAAAGACCAGGAGGGGCTAAGGGTGCAAGACCAAGGTCATCTCCCTTGGCTCCTGGAAGAAGGAGTTGCAGATGGAACATCAGGACCACTGACCCAACCCAAGCTTCTTTTTTTTTTTTTTTCAAATGTTTTATTTATTTATTTCTAGGAGAGAGAGAGACAGCATGAGCAGGGGAGGGTCAGAGAGAGAGGGAGTGACAGACTCTGAAACAGGCTCCAGGCTCTGAGCTGGCAGTCAGCACAGAGCCCGACGCGGGGCTCGAACCCACGAACCGCGAGATCATGACCTGAGCGAAAGTCGGACGCCCAACCGACTAAGCCACCCGGGCGCCCCCCAACCCAAGCTTCTTAAGAGACCCAATAGCACACCCCAGGACATAAATGCGATCTGAGGCAAAACATGGCTTCCTAGACCCCTGCTTGCTCAGAATGACTCCTCTGGAGCCTCAGATGCACACAGCCTGTGTACTCAAACACCATCTTCCTCAGGGCAGGGGCCCCTCATCCATGACTATGGTGGCCTAGCCCTTTCCTACAACAAGAACATGCTGGCCCTTATGCACCAGAGTGGGAATGGGCCCCCTTGCACACTCACACTCAGGACTGCCTGAGATGCCTACATGCTCCAGCTGCACCACATGTCCTTGCACATTTGTCTCTGCACACCCGTGCCTACAGAAAAGCCATGCATGCACCTTCCTGCACTCCCACATGCTCATACTCTGTGAGCCCACCCACCCCTCTGTGCATGCCTCGGGCTATGTATACTCACCCTTATAATTTCACCCTTAGGATAACCTCCCGTTCCCATTCCTAGAATTCACACCACCTTCATGCAAGCTTAGTTCTTCACCCTGCACATTCCTGGTCCCCTGAATGCTGGGGGCTCTACTCACAGTTACACACATACACACCCACGCACACGCACGCACACACACACACACACACATGCACACACACAATTACCCCACAGTCCCTGGGCCCCCAGCTTCCACGGCTGAGGGCTGCACAGCCAGACGGGCCCGGTGATAGTTGGTGGGAAAAGATGAGCTCTGGCTGCTCCGATGGAAGAAGCCACACTGGGATGTCAAGGGAGGAGGGGAGCAAAAGAGTAGTGGATGGGAAGACTCAGGAAGGACGGAGGCCCTTATCTCTGCTCTGTCCCTCTTCCCTGAAAGCAGGGAACAGGGATTCTGGGAGCCAATTTCATGAAAGTATCGATCTCCCCTATGACCAGCCAAGCTCCCAACAGTTTGGATGCTAATCCAGAGGCCTGGTCCATTAACAACTCACATTTGCCCAACAATGTGCTTGGTCTGCAACTGGTCCAGGGAAGACTGCAGCCAGTCCTCCATGGGGCCCCAAGGACATGCATGGTTCCCCATAGCCCAGTTGTGGCATGTGGTTCAGGGTCTGACCACTCGTGGTGGATGTGATTCCGTGTACTAACACGTGCATGGGAGTGCTTTTACGTGGAACCCCAGACACAAATGTGACTCTGTCTATACTATGCATGAAGCCAGTTCCAGGTAGAGCCTGGTACATGGAGGCTCTGAACTCAGTCCTGGTAAGTGTCCACCCGTTGTGCCTTCTGTGTCACAGTTTCCTTCCCGGCCCTACCCGCCAGGCTCCAGTGAGATCCGGCCACACTTCCCTGCCTCCATGACTTTGCCTCCCATGGTCCCACCCACCTCATCCTCCACCCCACCTTCTTCTAAGCCACCTGCTCTCAATACCTCTCACCTCTGAACTCCCCACTGCACTGCCTTGCCTTAGTGCCTTCTGCCTTGTCCTCAACTACAAGGCTCATCTCTTCCACTAGACTGACTATCAAATCCTTGAGGACAAGATCTGCATCTGATTTCTCTCTGAAACATCCAGAGCCTGACAGTCCCTGAGACAGACAAGTGTTGAGCGCAGACTGGCTGAATAAATGAGAGCGTGGGTGGGAAGGAGAACCACAGCATGAAAGGCCACCTGCCCAGCAGGGAAGCCCCCCGGCCCCACCTCCCCGAGCCTCACCTTCCACATGAGCAGCACCAGCAGTGCCAGCACCAGCAGCCCGGCCAGTACGGCCAGGAGGATGACCCACCAGGGGACTCCTTCTGCCACCACAGCCACAGGGTCCAGGTAAACCATCACTGGGATCTGGGGAATGAGGGATTAAGGGAATAAGGGCTGGCACAAGGGAAAGAAGAGCTTCCTTACCCCAACCTCCCCAGGCCTGCGGCTCACCACTGTGGAGGCATCTCTGAGCAGCAAGTTCTTGATAGAGGACTTCACAGTGATGTTTGCTCGGACAATCACTTCCAGGGACTTCACAGCTGAGTACTCCTGCAGGGAAGGACAGCCTCCTCCTAACTGCCCCATGCCCCCTCTTTCCCACCCTCCCCCAGCTCCTGATTTTGTAAATGGAATGATCCCCAACACAGAGGATATTTCTGTCTGTCTTGGGTTAAGAGCATGCTGCATTTCGGGAGAAGGCAGAAGTAGTTGTGAGTCCCAGAGGGGCTGCTGGGGAAGAAGACGCCAGCCCAGCACCCCCACAGGGCTCTTACCTCCAAGAAGGTACTGTTCCAGAGGCGGCCCCAGACGTGCAGCACGGCAGCTCGGTCAAAGCTATACAGAGGGCAGCTGAACACCACACAGTTGGCAGTGCCCCGGACACAGTCCTAGGGACAAGGACAGGCAGGGCTCTGAGCCTATGAAGGGCCCAACACCCTCACATATGTGGTCACACAGACATAGAGTCTGCCCAGAGCCTTCACTCCATCCCTCCATGAGCTCCCACACCTTGGACCCCCTTGTTCCTCACTCTCCCATTTTCCTTACCTGACGTCAAACTCACCTCCTCCAGGAAGTCTTCCCAAACTAACCCCATGGTCCAAAAGAGCAGCCCACCCCAAATCTGGCCTATCTGGCCTTGAAATACGTAGAGAGCAGGGGGGGGGGCGGGTCTCTTACTTGACAATAGAGAGTGGCTTCCCCAATGAATGTTTATGTTATATAACAATGGGGCTCCCTTTACTGAGCACCTCTTGCCTGCAAGGTACTTATTAAAGCTTCACAACTGTCCTGCAAGGTGCATATTATTATCATCCCCATTTTCCAAACTAGGAAATTAAAGTTCAAAGAGGCCAGGTGCAGGGCTCCTGGCTGGCTCAGTCAGTGGAGCATGCAATTCTTGATCCCAGGGTTGTGAGTTCGAGCCTCACATTGAGCGTGGAGATTACTTAAAAATAAAATCTTAAAAAAAAAAAAGGCCAGGTGACCTGCCTCAAGTCACACAGCTAGCAAAGCTGGTAAGTAGTGGAACAGATATTTGAACCCAGGTCCGTGGTGGGCAAAGCCACACGCCTACGCGAAGCCCAAACCCAAAGAATGAGCTACTGGGGGAATAGGGGACTTAAGCCCTGCTCCTTTCAGGTCTGACCTAATTTGGTCCAATCCCACTTGATGATCCAGTTGCCTAAAATCTGTGTTACATTCACCACACTTCATATACAGGATAATGGCTTTGAGGGCATTCGAATTCTTTGAATGGTCTTTTACTTTGCCACTTTTGAGCAATTCAAGAATCCTTGGTCAATTTGTCTAAAAGCAATTTTAAGGGGTTTTTTTTTGTAGTTTATTTCTTTATTTTGAAAGAGGGAAGAGAGAGATTGAGAGAGACAGAGACAGAGAGAGAGAAGGGCAGAGAAAAAGAAAGAGTAAGAAAGAATCCCAAGGAGGCCTGATGTGGGGCTCGAACCCGTGAATCGTAAGATCATGACCTGAGCCAAAACCAATGACATTTAATCAACTGAGCCACCCAGGCGCCCCTCTCTAAAAGCAATTTTAGGGGTGCCTAGGTGGCTCAGTTGGTTGAGTTGTCTGACTTCAGCTCAGGTCATGATCTCACAGTCCGTGGGTTCAAGCCCCGCATCGGGCTCTGTGCTGACAGCTAGCTCAGAGCCTGGAGCCTGCTTCAGATTTCTGCATCTCCCTCTCTCTCTGACCCTCCCCTGCTCATGCTATCTCTCTCTCTCTCTCTCTCTCTCAGAAATAAACAAAACATTAAAAAATATTAAAAGCAATTTTAGGCAAAAGAATAAATTTCAAAGTTCTTATTAGAAAGGGAGGCCTTTCTGGGAAATCGGTCACATGGAAAAGGCAGGAAAGCACATGTAACAGGGAGCCTGCTATTATGCAGATTTGTACTACCCCCATGTGCCTTCATCTTGCCTCCTGCCATGCTCCTGGCATGCTCTGGGGGAGAGGGGAGGCTGAGGGCCCCCACAAGAGACGGGGTATAACAGTGGAGCTCCCTCCCAAGCAGATGACACCAGAGCTGACCCAACTGTTTAACATTCCCTTGCACATGGTCTCTTTGACTCCTTCTACTGCCCACCCTTCCATAGCTGGGATTCACCTCCTTGCAACCAGGCCATATACCACCACCACCCCTCAGTCTGCACACTCTCCACACTCTCAGTCTCCGCACTGCACACTGCACAGTCTCCACACTCTCGCTGCCAGCACCATCCTACAAGGCTCGAGCACAGCGCATGTGCTCATCGGCTCAATACATCCACTTAAAGAGCAAAACGATGTAAAACAAGGAATTGATTGTGCGGCTAACTGGCTGTAGGTCAAGTGCCCTGCTCTGGAGTGAGTACTTGGCGGCCACAAGGGGACCTGTAATATCAGCAGCTGCTTCACAGTTGTGACATAAACTGTCTTGTCAACTCTGTCCAAGTGTCTGGCCATCACACCTTTCAACAGGCCAGCCTCCCGGACACCCACCCCCCTAAAGCTCCACGTCCCCCAACGTCCCCTATCACAGCTCCAACACCCCAGCCCTTCATTCCGACCGGACCATGCTTGCCCTGCCCTCACCAGGGTGATGTTTCTCTTCTTCTCGGCAGAGGACACCGGCCACCAGGATGTGCTGGGCTCTGGCTGCTCCGGACGCTCCTGCGGCTCTGGCTGCTCCAGCTCCCGTCGCCTCCTATCCCTGCTGTCCACGTCCTGGATGCAGGGAGTGAGGGCAGTGAGCATCCCTCCCAGCGGCAGTCCCGAGATGGCCTCTCCTCCCCCACTGCCTTCCTCCTGCCTCCCCCAGCCTCCCAGCCCCACGACATCCTCCCCAAAGTCTAACCCCCCACCACCCAGTTTCAGTGGCCCTGACCACCCTGCCTAAGCCTCACCAGTTGGAGGATGTTGGGCCTCGGGGAACAGAGCCCCTTCTGCCCAGGCCCTCGCCCGCCCTCCAGCTCCACCCGCATGGGGTACAGCAGCCACTTCCCGTTGGCAATCTCATGGGGCCACATGATGTTGAGGAAGGCAGAGCCCAGGGTGTTAAGCGATTGGCCTTGGTTGGAGACCTGTGGGCACAAATGAGTGTGAAGGGTAGGAGCTTGGTTTCTGAGCAGGCCAAATCTGCAGAGATAGAGGAGACAAGGGCTAGGGGAAGGCCTTAAAAAGCAGAGCTTCAACAAAGATTCAGGATCCTAGACCCCACCAGGCACCATTTGCTGCCAAATTTTCGCCCCAAAACCAGGAAGACCTGGACATGTCACTGCAAGGGTGGAGAGGCCCCAGCTGAGCAAGGGCAGAGTTCTAAGGAGAGACACCAGCCCTCCCCCACTGTCCCCATCCCCCAGCTAAGGACCCTGGCAGAAAAGCTCCCCTGAACCCTAACGGCCTACCCAGACCAGCAGGTGAGATGTCCAAAAATGACGAGGAAATGATCAACAGAGGCCCCAGCACAAACACCTGCCCACAACCAAGGTCCAGGAGCAAGGGGAGGCCCTGAACTTGCTGGACCATCATGTTGCCATAGGGTAGAAGAACCACAGCCCGTGAGACATGTGTCAGCCTCTCTAGGTGCCAAAAAAGGACAGGCTTTCCCAGGACACTCACCGTGACCTCATACTTGACCTTGCTGCCTATATCTCGCTCAGACTGCATGGCGCTCTCGCCCCGTACCACACCAGAGAAGAAGAGCTGCTGGGGAATGGCCACCCTGGTACAGAAGGGTCAAAATGGGGTCTGAGGAAGCCTGGGGCCTGGTTGCTTGGAGGATCAGTGGGCAGAGCCCAGGCCAGGGCTTGGGAGTAGCAATGCCCACCCCTCCAGCGGATGTGCCCATCTGGACGGAGCTTACCCCGTGATGGACAGCGGTAGCTCAATGAAGACACGTGCTCGGACAGAGACTGGATGAAGCTCCTGCTCACTGATCCTGGTATATGGGCAGGAGCAGGCATGGGCAGAGGGCACAGGTACCACCCCAAGGGCTCAGATGAAGACAGCAGAGCCCCATCCAGGTGGACAACCAAGCTGCCCCCACCCTCACCACACCCTGGCCCCACCAGGCTTACGTGGCCAACAGAAGCTCTACTTCCAGCTCTGTGGTCTCAATAGTGATCCCTGAGGTGCTAAGGATGAGGTAGAAGGTGACCTAGGCCAAGAGTGGAGAGAGAATAGGGTCAGGGAAGGCCAGGGGCGGGAGAAGGGGTCTGGGCTTAGACAGGCTCTCCAACAGAGATAAAGGCTGACATGCCCACCTGGGCACCTCTCTTCATGGGGTTCCCCAGCTCACACTCGACATGGGAGGCATTCTCATTGGACAGGCAGAGCGGCTTCTCCTGCACGGGGGAGAGAAGGAGAGGTCAGTTTGGTTTATTGGAGCCCTCGAGACCCCACCCTACCCTGATGCAGGTCCTCACCGCAGGGTCCAGGGCTCGGACTCCTGAGTAGTGCAGAGAGGCGGGGAGGGTGACCAGAAGCTGGGCTTCATGAGCATCATCCCCATCAGCCTGGGGGTGGGCTGGATCCGAGGGCAGGTTGGTGACCGTCAGCTCCAGGCCAATGACTGGCTGCCCACTCAGGGCAAACAGGGCTGTTGTCCCATCTGTATCCCTGGAGGTCAGATCACATTCACTTTAAATCTGAACACCTCCCTCTGCCTCTCCCACTCCTGCCTCCTCCTCGTGCAGTGCCTGCTGTCTGCCTCGACCCCGAGTCTCTCCTTCCACCAGCTCCCTCACACTGCCCTCCACACCAGCCCAAACCTCAGGTCTTCCCACACTCCAGAGAATCAGACTAGGAGTCAGGAGACCTCCCTTCTGGTCTGAGCTCCCTTACATACCCAGCTGGGGCGAGTGACTTAACCTCTCTAGGCCTCGTTCTCTATCTATAAAGGGACTAATAATAATTCCTACCTCACTGGGTTGCAAAGACTAAACACTGAGCTGTATGTAAAATGTGTACTATCACATACATTCATATACATATATTATCATATATTGTGAAGGTTTGCTATTCTTTGCCAGGACAGCTCCTATGGCCCATCACTGACCCTCATCGTCTGAATTATCACAGGTCCTCCCCAGCCTCAGCCTGGCCCTCCTGAGGAAGCTTCCTTCTCTCCCTTGAATTCTCGCCTTCCTGCCCTGCCTGATCCCTCGCTCCTTCTCACATGGGCAGAGGCTGGAACTCCGTGTCGCCAACCCGAGCACAGAAGCGAGCATGGACCAGCTGCAGATTGCTCTGACAGATCTTGTCTTCACCACAGCCTTGCTTCAGGAAGTGGATCTAAGGAGAGATATGAGGAGAGACTCACTCATAGGTGTGAGGCAGGGCACAAATGTGTCACTAAGACATACAGTGCGGTAAAGTATCACATGATTAAGCAACCTGGGTTCAGACCTCAGGTCTGCTGCTTACTAGCTGTGTGATACTGAGCTGGTCACTAAACCACCCTGTGCTATGTCCTTTTCAGTAAAACAAGCATGTGATGAGGCCGAGGTAGAGGCCAGTGGGTAAGTCCACAGCAAGGCCACATTTCCCTAGCCTCCCTTCTATGTAACTGAGTTTCAGACTTAGAACATGAAGGGAAGCGAAGAGCATCACTTCCGAACTAGCCAGGAAAGCCATACAGGGAGCTTCATGTTCCCCCTTCCAGGTGACAGGGATGAAAGCCACCTAAGGAGCTTGGAGGCCACATCTGAAGATGGCAGATCCCTATCAGCCCAGGCCCCTGAATGAATGCATGGGAAGGAGGAGCAGTGTCCCCTCTGACTAGGAACACATGATCACTTGGACCATTTTCCATCCAAGGGTCTACTTGTCACAGCACCTTGAGATATGAGGAACTGCTGGGGTAGCACATAAAAGAGCGTTGTAAGCTACGAATGCATGTCACTGGGAGGGACAATGATCACGGCTTCTCTAAGCCCCTTCTCCTGAGCTAAAGCAAACCCATGGCTCACCTCTGCCCGCTGGGTGCTGGGCTGGTGGGCATTGAGGATGGGAGCCACTGGGGGCAGTCCCTGGCCAGGAGCCTGTCGCCGGAGCCGTGGGGTCTGGAGACTATAGGAGAGGGTCACCACAATGGCCCGAAGCTTGTCTTTGACATTCTCCTGTGAAGGGGAAAGATGGACAAGGATACAATCCTCAGGCCCCAACCAAATCTAAGAGAGATTCTGAAACCTGGTGAGAAGACTGGGGAAATGAAGGAGAAAGGTGGAGACCAGGGCAAAGGGGAGGGAAAGCGACTGGGATGGAAGAGGGAGGAGCCCAGCATCTAGGGCTTTGAGGACCATGTGTGACAAGGAATACTCTGCCATCTCCATCTCCAGAGAGGACAGAACATATACTCTGGACATAGAAGGCAGAAGACACAAGTAGGCAACAGGCAAGGAGGAGGTCAGCCTCTAAGGGAGGCTTCCCAAAAGTTGAGATGGAAAAATGAGGTGTAAGCATGTTTGGGAAGAAGCTAAAAGGAGTCAACAAAAAAAGATCATGCAATGACAATGACTCTCGGAGGCCAAGGGGTCGGTGTCCACCTGTAGCTGGAACATGGTGTCTCCACAGACTCGGTCATGCTGGTGCTTCAGCCACACGGTGCCTGAGGCCTGGTGCTTGGGGTCATCAGGGCCACGGCTCAGGAAGGTCACACGGGGGACCTGGCCCCGGAGCCTTCGGTCTGTGTCCCCATCTAACACATAGTCCAGGGCTATTGCGTGTGGGGAGAGGAGGGGAGCCAGTGAGCTGGGGAACTGCTCTATTCCGACCCTATCTCTGCGATGCCTTTCTCTCCACCTCAGAGTGACCCACCCAGAAACCCAAAGGGGTGGGAAATGGGAGGGGAACCTCACTCACCCACAATAGGGCTGTAGCTGCTGGGGGTTGCAATGTAGCTGAAACAGACCCGCAGGTCCACACTGTGGGGGCAAAGGTAGCTCCTGAGCCAGGCACGACCGATGGGCCAAGGCCTCACTCCTCTCCCAGCCGCAGCCCCCAGCCCCACACTGGGCAGAGGAAGAAAGGGGGGAAAGGGACACTGAAGTCTCCCTGCCTCCCCTTGGATCCCACCTCACCAGACTGAGTGGCCAGCAGCACAGTTAGGCTGTTCTAGGTCAATGGCTCGGGGAGCAATGAAGACCTCATGGGATACATGAAGGACGGGTCTGGCCCTGAGGAATGGGGAGTCAAAAGCACAAGAAACATGAGATGAGGAGGCAGGGAAAGAGAGGAACTGGCCCCAAGGAAGGAGGGGCAAAGGCAGAGAAGGGGGGCTGCTCACCTGAAGAGCACAGCAGTGTCAGCTAGGGAGCCAACCAGTAGGTCTGGGTAATGATTCCCATCCACATCCAGGCCACCCGACAGCGAGTAGCCGAAGCTCTTTATGCCCACGGCCTCACCCTCCAGCACCTACAGGACAAGACCATCAGCTCCCCCAGCCCGCCCCCTGCCCTCTGCTGTTGTGCCCCCTTAGTTCCCCCATACCCATGACCCCCACACGTCATCCCAACGACCCCCCTCACCTGGGAAGGTTTGATGACAACCCCCAGGCTGCTCCCATGGTAGATAAAGACTTTCCCATCCCCATCAAAGGGGGCCCCCACAGCGATATCTGTGGGTGTGGGAGAAAGGGAATCAAACTGGGGCAGGGCAGGAAGGTGGGGTCCAGGCCCCAACTTTCCCTCAGTCACTCAGTTCCATATAATATATTTTCTATTTTATTGAGAGGCTACTAAGTCCCAGGCACCTTACACACATCATCTTTAAGCCACTTAGCTACTCTCTGCAGATATGACTATCAAAAAGGTTACTTGCCCAATATCACGAAGCTGGTAAAATGGTAAAGCTCAGATGTAAGCCCAGGTTGCTTCTCTCCCAGAGCCCTCAGAAGGCCTCTCCCTTGACCTCTGAGGCACTTCCCCATCCCTGCTCCTGCCCCCTCCTTCCCCCGAGGCTTTCCAGTTCCCAATCACACCTGCAAAGCCATCTTGGTTGAGGTCCCCTAAGACAGCCAGGCTGATCCCGAACATGGAGTCAGGAGAGCCACAGAGCCGGAGAGGGGAGACCCCAGCCCAGTGACCCCCCTGGTTCATGTACACATACACGGCACCCCCCAGCTCTTCTTGGCGCTCAAAGAAGTAGGGGGCACCCACTACCAGGTCTGACCAGCTATGGAGAGAGGGAAACAGTCAGTGTGGCTCCCTCCCCAGCCAGGGGAGTCAGACAGATGCCAGAGGCCCCTAAGGCCTCCTAGACCCAGCCTCCCCACCACCCCCGCCCCCCGGCTGCACTCCCCTGTGCCCACTCTTACCCATCATTGTTCAGATCGGCCACAGCCAGCGAGTAGCCAAAGCCGGAGGTCAGGCGCTCCCCAGACAGCATAACTTCGGGCACCAGGCGACTGGCGCTGTCTTTGCGCAGAATGACCACAGCACCCTTATGGTTGGCACGGGGGGCCCCTGCCACAAAGCTCAGCTCCTCTGCACGCACCAGACCCTTCCCCGAGTCGATGGAGAAACCTGGGTGGGGCGGCTTACCAGTGAGCACCCCCGAAAGACTTGGACCAGGGTGTGTCCAAGCTCCCCCCACTTTGCCCCCTCCTCACAAGTCTGGAGCCAAAAGGTAGAGGTGCCCTCCAAGTTATCAGCACCACAGCCACCGGACTGCTCTGCCTGCCCCTCCAGAACCTTGGAAGCCCTCCCACACCCACAGGCTGGAGTTTGGCACAAGAAGTGCAATGAGGTCAGCCTTGGGGACTGGGGAGGAAAGAGAAAGGCAATGACTAGGAAGGCGAGCCAGCTGGGCAGGAGCTGGGCAGGGCACCATGCAAGAAGGAACGTCTTCCCTCTGCACACCCAGAAGGCCCCAGTTCCATCCAATGCACCTTCTTGGCCCCCACTCCCAATATGCCGGCAGGGAGAAGAAAGGCAGCTGGGCGCCAAGGGGAAGTGGGAAAGAACTTGGTTCACCCAAACATCTCCCAGGCCTCGTTTCCTCCCCCTCTGCAGAGGGATGCAGATGAGACAAGGAGAGGGACTTATCAACAAGGCTAGGCCTTTCTCTGGCATGTGCCCGCAGCCCATCCTTCAGAGAAAGTCCCACTAAAGCTCCACCCTCCTTCTTCCCCAGTACAGTCTCAGCCCACCTGGTTCTTCCTCCATGGAGACCCCTGTTCACAGCCCCCTAGGCCATCCCCCGGGGGGCATCTTCTCAGGCCTGGTCACTGGGCCCAGCTCTTCTCTGAAATGTGGGCCCAACATGGATTTCCCCAGGTATATGTTGGTGAGGGCAGGGCAGGAGAGGAGGGGAGGCCAGGCCAAGCCCCCAGGGCCCAGGGGAGCTTACAAACCTAAGTAGCTATTCAGGGCCAAGTCTCCGGCTGGTCCTGGGAGCCGGTCAGCGGGGTCCAAAGTTTTATACACCAGCTGGTCAGGGTCTGAGCTATCAATGTTGGTCACAAAGAGCAACCCTGCGGGGGGGCGGGGGGGGGGGAGACACCGGGGAAGGGACATCGAGAGGAGGGGCCACAGAGTGGGGAGACAGAGCCAGACGTGAAGGCAAGAAGGAGATACAAGAGGAAGAGGTGGAGAAAGAATATGAGACAAAGAGGCCAGAGAGAGAAGAATCAGAGACTGAAAGACAGAGAGAGACAGGTGAAAGCCAGAGACAAAGACAGAGACAGAAGGATGGGAGCATGGAGAGGGAGAACAAGAGAGAGGAGCAGAGGGTTAGAGCAGCTCTGGGCCAGGGTGGGGTCCCTACCAAAGTAGCTGTTGGCAGGGACCGGGATGAGGCGGGGGTCCTGCTCCTTCTCACCCCCCGCCTCGTAGGGCCCGTCGTCCAGGTGCGCCAGGTCCGCTGAGCCCTGCGCACAGAGCTCCACCCTGGCGGTGCCTGCAAGGACAGACCCGTTAGTGCTCCGGGGCAGGGAGCCAGGAGCACCTCTCAGGCCAGATGCCCGTCAGGCACACAGGGAAGCCCCCGGTCTCCCGTGCAGCCCTGTCTCCACCCCTTCCCCAGCCCAAGCTTCCTGGCCCCACAGGCTTGCTGTCCCACTCACCGAGTGTCACCTCGGCCAGCGGCAACATGCGGACAACAGAAATGGGGATGATGAGGTTGGGGAGCGAGCGGGCGCAGCTGTGCACGTGGGGGTCATGCCAGCGTGGTGAAGAACACTCGGCCATTCGAAGGAGACGTGACACCCCCACTCGTGTGTGTGCAGGCATGATGGGAGTGGAAGGTGTGCCAGTGCCCAGGGCTACGTGGTGGTGAATGTGTGGCATGCTCAGCCATGTGCTGCCCCCAATCCCATCTCTGAGGTAAGAGGACATTTCGGTTCCCTTCTCCCCTCCCCAAGGAGTGACTCACCCTTCCAGTTATAGGTTCCTGGGGCCCCAAAGAGGAGGTAGTGGCTGTCAGGGGAGAAGGCGGCAGCTGTGCCCTGCTGGCAGAACCCAAACTGTTCATGCCCTTGGGGGCGCCCCTCACAGAACTTCCACTCCCCACCATCCAACTCATCGCGGACGGCCAGGTCTTGGCTTAGCACAAAACAGCGACCGATCACATCCCTGGTCTCCAGGATCTGGTCTACTCGCTGCCGTGCCTCGTACCGGTGTGCACAGGTCTGTGGGAGGAAGGGATGCTGGGTCATCCCACTGTGCGGGCCAGTGACCCCCTAGAGCCACGCGGCCCACATGCAGACGTTTGGCGGGCACGGTTTCGTGAGCACATACTCACGCACACAGACACACACATCACGTGAGCACCGCCACCCAGCCCAGTGTTGGGCAATAGATATATAACTATCCCCCCACACCCACTCACTTGTCCCGGCGGGAAGAAGCCTTATTCCACATTCTGCCCGGACACCACAGGTACCACTAAGCCAGCACACGGCATCCTGCCTCCTGACCTTGCTGTATGGCCCTGTCCCCAACACGCCAAGCTGGTCCTGTTTCTGCAATTTTTTAAGTGCCACCACTTTGTCCGTGAAAAACTTCCTCCCCTCTCCACTCCTGACACATTGTTTATTCTTGAAAGGCTGCCTGAAATCTCCACCACCTGCAGGAGTCTTTTCTCTCCACTCTCCTTTGGATTTTTCACACGGTGGGGACCTTCCCGCTCACTTAACGTTAACCATATTCTGCCCCACAGCGACTCATATTATAACTTGTGTTTCTGCATGTCAGTGATGATACAGAGAGAAACACACACAGAAAAAGAGAGAATGAGCGTCTCTATAACTAGGCAGTAGGCTCTCTGTGCCATGGACCAGGCTTTTCCTTGTCACTACCTTTCCTCTCTCAGTAGCTAGCACAACACCCGATGTTGAAAAGCCTCAGTAGGAGTGTGACAAATGGATAGATGGATGGATGGTTAGATGGCTTTAAATCATAAGGACAGGGACCAGGGGTGACTGGGTGGCTCAGTCAGTTGAGCGTCCAACTCTTGATTTTGGCTCAAATCATGATCCCAGGGTCGTGGGATTGAGCCCTGAGTTGGCCTACTTAAGATTCTCTCTCTCTCCCTCTGTCCCTCCCCCTGCTCACGCTCGCTCACTCTCTAAAAATAAAAATAAAATAAAATAAAAATATGGAGAGGGGCTATGTCTTATACCTTTTTGCTACCTCCCTGAGGTCCTGGAAATCAGGCCATCATACCACACGCCAACCTGTGTTCTATAAACACACCTGTGCACCTGCACACACCATATACACACTCACACACCCCACCCTTGCATACAGTCACAAGGAGTGGTACTCACGACAATCTTGCCCCCAGGCCCCTGGCTCCGAACACTGACTCCCAACCACTGGTTCTCCTTGCTCTCTTTCTGCACATCAGCTGGAGGCACAACACTGGGAATGAGGAGAGGGAAGAGGAGGCCAAGTCCTCTCCTCCCCTGCATGCACTGCACCCCCTCCCTACCCCTACGGGGCCCACACCTCCACGGTCGATGTCAACTCTGTAGCAGTCAGTCTCTTCCAGGCTCAGGGGACAAGCGAAGAGGCCCCCGGTGCGATTCGCCTGCTGCCCAGGCAGAGCCAGCGCCTGCGGAGCCCCCACCAGCAGCCTGCACGATGGGACAGGAGCAGGCGTTAGAGACAGAGTGCTGGGCCCCACCAGGGCTGCCCAGGCCCGACCCCTCAGAACCAAGTTGAGTGTGAAGAACTAAGGAATGGGGCCAGAAGTCAGTTTCCCCGAGTCTGGCGAGGGCAAATTATTTCACTTGGTGATGCAATCATCACATTACACACTCACATACTATCTGGATGAGGGGCCATGTGCACTGTAGATACACGCATGTGCGCATGCGCCAGACAAAGCAGCCTTGCCAGTTCTGCTCATTTGAAAGAACCGCCTGTTCCCAGCACCTGTTCCTGACCAGGCCCTTCCCTACTCACTTCCTGGCCACATCCCCAAGCTCTACCCTCCTCCCCAAACCCAGTCCAGTTGGAACCCTCCCAGAAATGCCAAGAATGCTGAGAGCAAACGTAACAGGGGCCCAGACTGGCACCACGAGGTGGTCCCGGGTCCCACTTCAGGGGCCAAGCAAGAGGCTAGATATGGGCCTGTCCCCCCATCCTTCATCTGGAACCCACCGAAGACCCCTCCCCACCCCCAGCAACCCTGCCAGCCCCAGATTCCATCAGTCACTCCCGCTGGCATGGAGGTAGGGACAAGTTCCTCATCTGTCTCCCATCCTGCCCCCATTTTCTGCTCCTATCCTGAATCCCCTTCCCCCTTGTTCCTTCTCCTCCCCACATCCAGGGTTTTCCCCATTCCTCCCACCCTCCCTGCCCCCACCCTGTCCTCTCCTACCTCCCCCTCAGACACTTTCCCAGCTACAACTTTCTTGGCAGGACAATTTTCCATGATCACAGCCAAGCCTTTTTCCCCAGGGGAGGCCTGTGCTGGGAATGAAGGCTGCCTGGGTCCCCTGGGGCTGAACCCCAGGCCAGGAGTGAAGGAAGGGTAAGGTGAGGTGACTGGCACCCAGCTGACTACAGGGATCTCTCTTCACAGAAGGAGAGACGCAAAAGTGGAAGCAGGGAAACCTCAAGTCCTCTCTCCTACACTCTTCCTCCATCTCCCTTGCTGGGGATGAGGCCCAAAGTGGTGTCGGGCAATATTGCAGACAGGCATCTATGGGGCACTGTGCCAGTCCCGAGGGGGGAGGAGAGGGCACAGAGCCACACTCCCTTCCCACAGCTCTAGTCTCTTAGCAGCTGTCATCCTGCGTCAGAGCCAGTGTCCAGAGCACGGAGGGGGCAGGGAGTGGCAAAAAAGACAGCATGCATTCGGCGTTCATCAAGAGCCATGTACTGAGAACTTAGCATCTGCCAAGCCTTGGGTCAGGCACTGGTGAGACAAGGAAGTAGTATTTCTTCAGCACCTACTATGGGCCAGGCCCTAGGCTAGATGGCAGGGATATGGGGAACGAACATTTGTCACTCCCTACCTAGGCTGCAAACATCAGGTTGGGCAAGTTACGTGCGTTCTCTCTTTTAAGTGTTACAGCAATCCTATGTGAGGGTTCTTTTCTCGTCTTTCAGATGAGGAAACTCACTCACATACATTAAGTAGGATGCTGGAATTCATATCCACATCTGCCTAACTCCAAAGCCCATGCCTTTTCCACCATAGCCAATGATGAGCCATCTCCAGAATACTGACACCATTCCAGAGAAAGAACTGGAGGGAGGGGAGAGAAGGGTACCATTGCAGAAAAGGAAACAACATGGCCAGCCTCCTGACAAGTCCACAGTACCCATCCCCACCCTGCCTCATCGCCAAACTCAGAGATGGCCATCTACTGGAGGACCGGGGCTACCTTACTCATCTCTGTGCCTGCCCCATAGGAGGCATCTGGATGCCTTTGTTGAACCCATACATTGTGTAGACTCAGAGAGACACCCAGTGCCTCAGCTGGTATGCTCAGTGTTCACATCTCTCCTAGAGGTCTAAGTAGGGAGGAGGGTGGGGGGAAGAGGTCCATATGGAGGAAAGAAGCCCGTGTGCATACATACGGCCAGCCGCACCCTCAGTGGAGAACAGACCAGCCCACCCAACCTAGGACAAGAGTTCCCACACACAGCCTCTCTAGTCCCTTCACCTCTGTCCCAGCCACACACTCTTCTGGCTTCACCCCACGGTCCCCAGACACCCCAGGTCTCTGGACAGAACAGCAGCCACAACTGTACCCACTGCGAACAAAAGCAAGAACACCTTGGCAGCTGGGGGTGGAGGGATTCCCCGGGAGCCTGGCCATGTGAAAGCAAAGGAGTATAGCCCACTACCACCACACCTCTCAACCGTGCACACACTCCAGGGCTCCGACCCAAGGCCTGTCCTCTCTGACTCTCTCAAACTGGGTGGCCCTCTGGGGAGGGCGCTCGGCCTAAAGGCTGACTCAACCAGGGTGATCTGGCCAAGCCTTTGGATCCAGGTTTGCAGTAAGGCCCTAAAGCTATTCTCTGGCTCCGTGGATCATGATACAGGAATAACAGTACTAACACTTTCATAGCACTCCCTGTGGGCCTCGCGCTATTCTAAGGGTTTTATATATACTAAGAACTCTTAATCCCCACAATGACTCTATCTGGTCGTCCTACTGTTTAACTCCATTTTATAGCTGAAAGATATAAATGAGGCTGAAACCACAAAGCAAAGAAGGTTAGACTTCAAAGTCTCATCCAGGGGCAAGACTGAAAAGGCATCACAACAGGTGAGGCCTTTCAATCAGTGGGTGCTGGTGATGGCCAACTGCAACTCAAAAGCTAGAGACTGAGCAAGGGACCTGGTCTCTCACATGCCACCGGCAGCAGAGCACCCCTTGCTGGAACCACAGCAAGGTTAGGCAGTCAGGCTCCTCTGGGAATGCCCCCAGTTTGGCTCTGGGAGACAGCGTCAGGGGCCACCTTCAGAGAGGAGGGGGAAATGACAAGAGACCAAGCTATTAAAAATAACCTAGAATTTGCCTGGAAATAGCTCAGAGAGTTCAGCATGTCCTAAAAAGGCCTCCAGTCCTGGAACTCTGGTGGATGGGGGAAGAAGGGAGGGAGAGAGACAAGATGAGGTAAGACGCAGATAGAAGGCTGAAGAAGAGATGAAGTCAGTTGCTTTCTATCTCTCCCAAAGCGTGGGGGACCACTGACCACGCTCCCTGATGAGAGGGATAATGGAAGAAGATTAGAGCTAGCCCCTCTTTCCCAAGAGGGGAAAGAGAAATGAGCTCCTGTCCCTACCCTGTGCCCCCAAGCAAATAGTATCAGGGAGAAGACAATCCCAGTGGACGGCATTGATCCCAGTAATGGACACTTAGTGTGGCTTAGGCGCTGGCCTAGGAAAGAAAGGCCCCCTGGCAGGAGGGGGTGGGAAGCTTTCTTCCCTTTGTCTCTCTTTTTAAAATCATACATGTAGCTGGAGCCAATAGGATAGGAAGCATGACAGGCATAGGCCCCACACGTATGTGTCCAAATCCCATGAGTCCTGAACTGAATAGGAAATAACCAGAATTGTCCTCTGCCCTTGACTCCTCCCTGCTCTCCCCTACTGCTGAGATTCCTAGACCTGGAAATTTCCTGAGGAGGAGGAAGGGGAGCACCAGCCTGGCCAGCATCCTTCCTGGATCTCTGTCACTGCCGATGCTGCGGCTACAACTTTTGGATGCTCTGTTTTCTGCTCCATCATCAAACCACCCAGTACAGGTTGTACAGGTTGCCATTCCCTCCCACGTCCTCTCAACCTTCTCTTTTGTTGAGCCACAGAAATAAGTGGCAGGTCTCCCCTGATCCCAGTGTCCTGCTCTCTTCATTCCATCCCACGGCAATGTTCTCACTGGAACTTACGTCTGGAGTCTACCCTCCATCCCTCCCTGGGTGTCTTCAGCCTCTCTGTCCTTTCCCTCTCCTACTCTAAGCAGAGACAAGTCCTTCTTCCTGGGGGAATGCAGCTCTCTGAAGAAGGGGAGTCACAGTCCTGGGACTGGAGCAAGGATGCAAGTTGGGGGGAAACAAAAGGAGACGGTTCCCTGCCAAGACAAGAACCCCTCTCTCCAACTCATCCCCAAAGCAAGACCCCGGGTCTCGGAGCCTGAGGGTACGCCTCCAGACCCCAGACTGAGGAGGCAAGGTGGAAGTGTGGGGTATCTGTGGGCAGCCTGAGTCGTCGTGGGGGTTGGGGGAAATCTGTGGCTCGGGCACGGGGATTCTGGGCGGGTGTGGTGACTCACCAACTCTGGGGTCGGGGATGCAGCTGCCGGTGCAGAGCCACAGAGAAGCCGAAGAAGCTACCCGGGTCGCCCTCCTTGCGCAGGGCGCCCATCACGTCCAGATTGAAGGCGACAGCCCCGGGGCAAAGCAGTCCGGCCAGCAGGGAGCCAAGAAGGTAACAAATCCCGGGGGGGCCCCGAGGACCACGGCTCGTAGTCCCCGCCATGCGGCGAACCTTGCGCGCGCTTCCCACGAGCGCAAGAAAACTCGCTTGCGCCCCAAGCTCCAGGTCTCCCACGGCAGGTCTCTGGTCTCGAGTCTCGCAGATCTTTCAGGGGTCTCTCAATCTCTCTCCTTGCCCCCCTCTCCCGCCGCTCCGCCTCCCCAGCACCCGCTAGGACAACTGCAGCGGCCGCAGCCCAAGGGTGAGCTGGGGCTCCCGCCTCCGCTCCCAGGGGCGCCGCCCCGCGCCCGGGCCCCGCCCTCGACCCCGCCCCTCGCTCCCGCGGCAGGTGGAGGCTTCGCTGCGTCGCAAAGGGATGCCCGGGCCAGCGACTCCGGGTAGGAGTGGGCCTGGCTCGGTGGGATCCCCACCCCAGCTTCGGCACCGCCCCCGCCTGCGCGCTCCTGCCCTTCCCCCCGCTCCAGGCCAAGCTCGCGAGTGGTGGGGGCGGCGCCTGGGAATGAGGAGGGAGAGAGAAGTACGGATAGAAAGGGATCGAAAAAGAGAAAGGAGGGTAAGAGATGAGAAGTGCGTGACGCAGTCTAAGAGAGATGCAGGCAGAGAAATGAAAGGGGAGGGTCCTGTGTGGTCCTTTGGTGCTCCCTTCTCTCCAAGGTCAAGTAGAGCGTCTCGCTGCATTTTGAATCACACCACTTCACACCCCATGCCATCCCACCCGCCAGAAACCGCCGGCAGTGACAACGGCTACGCTGGCCACGACGTCAGCATTCAGGGAGACTGAGGAAAAGACAGAAGCAAGAGGAGAGAGAAACTCAGCAGGCTTGGAGAGGAGAGCAAAAGAGGCAGGTAGAAAGAAAACAGAGAAAACAGACGGAGAAAGAAGGACAAAAGTTTGATTAATAAAGAATGGGGGCGCCTGGCTGACTCTGTCCATACAGCATGAGACTCTTGATCTCCCAGTCTGAGTTTGAGCCCCACCTTGGGCATAGAGATTACTAAAAATTAAAAATAATAATAATAAAATAAACACAAAAACAGAAACACCCACAAGGAATGGAATGGAGGAAAGAAAATTACTGAGGCTGATACAGGAAGAGGAAATTAAGCAGCAAAAAGGGAGTGGGGGTCAAAGAAGGGAAAAGATGAAAAAGACTGGACCCAAGAGACAGAGGGATGGAAAGGATGTCTTCATTGGAGAGGGCAGACTTCCAAGCTGTTCCAGGCAGGATCTGGGTGGGGCTTCGCAAGGATCTCCACAGGGAATGGCAAGCCTGTCCCTTTTCCTCTTCCTTTCCCCCAGGCTGAGACAGAAGCAAAGGGAGGGGGGACATTTTCCAACCCTCTGCTATTTATAACTCCAATCCAGAAATGGAGCCAGGAGGAGAGATAGGAAATAATTTGGCACAACTGGAACCTAGCTTGTTCCCACCTCCCCTTCTCATTGGGTGTTGGTCTTGTGTATCTCTACCTGTCCATCTTTCCTTTCTCTCTCTCACTATCTGATTTTGTCTCATCTCAAACTCTTTTTGTCCCTCTTCTTGCCTGTGTCATTTGGAACCCTTTTTCAACAACTTTTCGGTATCTCTAATGTTGTCTCTGCCTCTGAAGCTCTGTCATGCTCTTAAGATTTTTCTCTTCTCAGGGGCTCCTGGGCGGCTCAGTGGGTTAAGCTGACTTCAGCTCAGGTCGCGATCTCACAGTTCTTCATGGGTTTGAGCCCCGCGTCAGGCTCTGTGCTGACAGCTCAGAGCCTGGAGCCTGCTTTGGATTCTGCGTCTCCTTCTCTCTTTGCCCCTCCCCCATTGGCTCTCTGTCTCTCAGACATTAAAAAATACGTATTAAAAAAAGAATTTCTCTTCTCATGGGGCACCTGGCTGGCTCAGTCCATAGAGCATTTCACTCTTGATCTCAGGGTTGTAAGTTCGAGCCCCACTCTGGGTGGAGAAATTACTTAAAATTGAAATCTCTGGGGGAAAAAATTTCTCTTCTTCCCTTTCTTACAAGCCCCAATGCGTCCTACCTATTTTTCCCATGCTCCCTTTGTCTCTCTTACTTCTTTGTCCAAGATTATACTTTTAAAAAACAAACAAAAAGGTAAGCTCTCGCTCTGCTGGCCCTGAGACAGTCCTTGCCCGGGGTAAGCTACTGTACATTTGAAGATTTTGCCCCTCTGTTTTTGCAACACTACACTTGTGGACATCCCCTCCAGGGGACTAGCACACCTCTAAATGAGTACTATCGAGGCTACACGTGTTCTGCCAGCAAGTCGGCACCAGGATTCTACTTTTATTATCCCCAAGATCTGCCTTCTCCATCCCTTTTCTACCTCAGAGCCCCCAGACAGTAGAGCTGATGTTTGAATGCAGAGTAGTAAAATCAGGATTGAACCCCGGACTCCTGACTCTGAGCCCAGATCTTCAATGGGAGTCAGAATGCCTTTAGATCCCCAAGTACCTTCCTCTCTGCACCTGAAGCTTCTGCCTCCCTTCATGTCCACCCCACTGGCTCTTGCTAAACCCAAGGCTGAAATCAGATGCCAAGAATCTGCGTCTGACCTCCTTCCTCTGCCCAAATATTTGAGAAGTCCTCTCACCCGCCACAGGATGAAGGAGCAGGAAAAAGAGAGAGAGAGACTGCCCAAAATTAGCCTGGCTATAAATAGTGGGGCAAGGAAGGGCAGTTGAAAATGTAAGAGCCCTAAACCAGCCTTGTAAATTTAGACATGTAGATTTTCCCTAAAGGAGGAGTGAGACCAGGGGCGCCTGGGAGGCTCAGTCAGGGTTAAGCGTCCAACTTCAGCTCAGGTCATGATCTCCCAGTCCATGAGTTCTAGCCCTGCATCGGGCTCTGTGCTGACGGCTCAGACCCTGGAGCCTGCTTCGGATTCTGTGCCTCCCTCTCTCTGCCCCTCTCCCACTCACACTTTGTCACCCTCTTGTCTCTGAAAAATGAAGAAATCTTTAAAAAAATTTTTTTTAAAGAAAAGGAGGAGTGAGTCCAGATTGTTGGAGTGAGGCACAAAATTGTAGGTAAAGGGGGGGATGGGATGAAGAAGCAAGAAGAATCTGGAGAATATAGGAAGCTCAGTGTTTAGATATACAATCTGCCAGAGAGTTTCTTGTATTTGAGTGAAACGTTTGGAAATTCATTAAGTTAAAACCAACCAAAACTATAAAGATGAAGAATAGGTTAGTGATTGCCAGGGGACATGGATGGGAAGAGATGAATATAAAAAGATAGCACATTATACCTGAAACTATTATAACATTGTATGTTAGTTATACTTTAAATAAAGAGGGGCACCTGGGTGACTCAGTTGGTTTAAGCATCCCACTTCGGCTCAGGTCATGATCTCACAGTTTGTGAATTTGAACCCCACATTGAGCTCTCTGCTGTCAGCATAGAGCCAACTTCAGATCCTCTATCACCTCCCCCTCTGCTCTTAACCCCCTCTCGTGCACTCTCTCTCTTTCAAAAATAAACACTTATAAATAAGTAGATAAATAAATACCAAATAAATAAAAAAGACAGCATGGGAGGTTCTGTTGTGATGAAGAAATCTGTATGTTGATTTCGGTGATAGTTACTCAAATCGATACACGGGATAAAATTGCACAGAACTACACACACACGTACACATTTACACACACATGAATTCATGTAGAGCACTGATAAAAACAGAATAAGGCCTGTAAGCTAGTTAACGGTGTACCTATGTCAGCTTCTTGGTTTTGATATTGTGCTACAGTTCTATGAAATGTCACCACCGAGGGAAGCTGGGCGAAGGGTACATAGGACTTTATGTACTATTTTGCAACTTCCTCTGAGTCTATAACTATTTCAAAATCATTTTAAAAATTGATAAATGTCCAAGCCCAGCAAAATCTTCAGCCCTTATCTGAGTGGAACCTGGGACTTTCTCCAGCCCCTTCCCCCTCTAACAACCTTTTTTACCTCCATGTAGGATCCCTGTTTTTCAGCTTCCCCAGATTAGACATTTTCTAACTGCTGCCTTTAGTTTACAAGCAAACACTTCCAGAACTCACTGCAGCGTTAACTTCTCTCTCCACCTCATCTGGCAGCAGGGCCTTGGAGCATACATCCCAGGGTCAGCCTCTTCCTCCCCAACACACACAACATGAGGCCTTTCTCACCCCACCCACCTCTCCAGCACTGGAATCCTTCTGCCTGCCTCTGAATTCTGGCTGCAGCCAAAGCTTGAACTATGGGAGTGGCTGGGAGAGAAAGAATATAAGCGTGATTGAAAGGAGTCACTGGGGAAATGACTTGACCGCTTTAGAGATGCTAGGGAAACCCTAGGAGCATCTTCTGGAGAAGGGCTGGGAGGTCACTTCCCACAGGGAGCCATTTAGGCTGCCTTGAGGGGCCCTTTTCTTTGAGCACTGGCCTCAGGCCAACATTTGGAACTTGGCCACACCACCAACGGCACCCCCCTCTTGAAGCTCAGCCAGACTTCCCAGCATGAGAAGCCTTCTCCACTCACTCTATGTTCTCCTTCAGTCCTCACCCAACCCTTAACAATTCAGCAGCTTCCGGCCCTAATGTTTGGCCCAGGCGTTTAGTTTGAAGCTTGCTAATTAAAGCTATCTCAGAAAGAGACTTCAAAAGAACAAGGAAATGAGGGGAAAATGAGCGTGGAGTTGCATTTGTTCATTCATTCTAAGGAAAAATAATCTAGGTGGGAAAATGTAAAGAGAGGTGGGCAAAAAGAGATTTCAGATGTCAAGAGTCATTCTACAGGGATGCCTGAAACTTGTGCCCATCTCTACCAAAGGCAACCGGGGAGCTGAGCTTCATCTCAGCAGAAACTCAAGTTACACAGTGAGCAGCAAAAGCCTAGAAAAAAGGCAGCTGGAGGCCGACCCACAGAGATCAGCTGGGGTCCCCAGATACAGGTACCCGCGTCCCCTGCCCAGCTCTAGGGCAAAGGAACAGCCGGTGCGTGGGGAGGAGGGCGGGGCTGACGTCTGCAGAATCCTGGCAGTCTCCATACTGATTGTGAAAATGTCAGGCGGTTGTGCCAAGGGGGGTGAGGG